CAGGAGTGAGGGGATGGGAAGGAGCAGATGCTGCAGGAGTGCAGAGATCGTGGGTCTCTCTCCATGGACAGCAGAAGGAGCTGCACAGAGCTCACAGCAGCTCACTGAAGGCACTGAAAACAAGCCGAAGAGGAAGGACCTGCCCCACAGAACCAGAAGGAATTAGGCTATAAATTGACTTCAGTCTTCTTTCTGACCCAGTCGTTTTGAGCATCTTCTAGTAAAAAATAAATAAATCTAGCTGTTATTTCACCAAAATCTTGCTTTATATTATTTTTTGCATTTTTTGTCACTTTGGGGGGATCTCATTATAGCTCAAAGCTCTAGACTTGCCTGCCTAAAAGTTAAAGTCAAAATAAGAGCCAGGTACAGTCCCCACAGGGGCTTTACTTTCATCCTTTGTCATCTTTTCTCACATTTTTTATCACGGAAATTCCCCTGGGGCCAAATGAAAGCACTGCAGGAATCTTAAAGATTGTAGTAACTGTTTATTTAAAGTCTCAAGTACTAAACTTTTATTAACATAGATATTTCACAGAATTAGGCTAAATTAATAAATGAGCAGGTACAAGAAATCTGAACAGGAAGGAGTTCTGCATTTTAAAAGGCAGCTAAGTATGCAAATTTTATTATTTAAATTAAAATGTCAGTACCTTCAAATTATATTAATGACTCCAAGTTAATAATGAAAAAATTGTATCAAGGCTGAGGACTGATAACGAATTCTAAAATCTTTCTAATTTGCTCTACCCAATGCAATATAAAGTTATTAGATTTCTAACACTTCAGCCTCTGTATAAACCATTATTCTGGTAGAAAATTAAACACTGAACTACAATCTACTTTCTTTACTTTATGAGAAAAACATATTGAAAAATTTACCCAAACCATCAGAGGACAAGATGTACTGTATATTAAGAAATGCATTTCCATGCACTGGAGGACTGAAATCCATAGAGACTCACAGCAGTAATCACTTCAGTAATGATAAATAAGTGACAGTTATCACCAAGAGAGTGAATTCAGGAATCACCAATGAGAACCTGCAAACCTGCAAACTAGTGGAACCTGTAAACTTGCCAGTGGAAGTTTGCAGGCTCTGAGAGTGTTACTAGGAGCTGTGCATGCTTCAGGAACATTTACTCATGACTCTGACAGGTTTGCCATGAGCACAGAGCAGAAGAAATTATACACAACACATCCAGCCCCTGTTACTCTCAAGGTTGTTATTCAGCTACTGAATACCAGAAACCTACACTGCCAAACATTCCACTTGCTTTCACTTATTTTACTGGCAAAAAGTAGGACAAAAAATGATCACCAGTTATTATGTTTCTTCTAGTATTGACTCCAATTGCTTTGCAGTTTTGAAAGAATATCTTACCAGGAGTATATGCACCCTGTGCTGTTTGGTCTTTATTGACTGCCTATGGCTTTTCAAAAACACTTATAGGTGCTGAATTTATTTCAAGAAGGCCTACATGGTTCAGTGCCAATCATTTAGGGCATAAATTGATTTCTTAAATTGTCCTTGTGAATGCTTCTCTTATGTTCTTAGCCACCATGACTTCAAGTACCTCCAAATATCCACTTTCTGCTTTTCCCTGCACCATAGTAATACAGCATTTCTGCTGTTATAGTACATCAGTATCCCTTTTAAATTCTTAATCTTCATGGGCTGAAGTTGCCCATTTCCATGGTAAATACTCTTTGAGCAGCAGACACAAAAGGTCTTGCTTACAACCCAATCACCACTGCAGAGCTATGACTGGCTCTACATTGTGCACAACAAAAATAAATGTCAAAGCAATATCTGTGTCTATGATTATTCAGTCAATGATTTATTGATAATGAGTTATTCCTCTTCAAAGCTGTTCTGTCTTTCACCCATTGTACATAGTGGAGAAATTCAGATTGCATGAGAAAACAGGAATCTGATATTCCATAATTTTGAAGTACTCAACAAACAAAAAGATTTTTAGTTTTTTATTGGCCAATGCACAGGTAGGTTCTATGACTGCCCTTCAGGTAAATGTGAGGTTTGGTTTGGTTCTGTTTTCGGGGTGTGTGGAGCTTGTCCTCATAGAGGGATACAACTAGCTGTGTTAAAACTTCCACACACATATCTATACATAGCAAGAATGCAGACAGCTACTCTAATTTCATACGTACACAGTGTCTTCCTGGCTTTATTTTTGGAAATGATTTATTGTGGTGATAAAGTAATGGAGACTGGAATTTATTCAAAGAGCTTTCTATACTCCAGAAATAATGCCAGAATACTTCTCTGTTCTTCCATGGAGGGATTATTTTCTGAGCTCTGTAATGCATCTTGGTCATCCACTCAAACCTACAGTGTGATGATGCTAAGGTCAAGTTTTCTAATTTCATAATGTTTGGCCAGCTCATTAGTTTTGGAAATTCTGGGAAATGAAGTAATGAGCACTCTGTTACTCCTCCTGGGGTGACTGGGACGTGACTGTGTTTTGAAAACTTACTCTGAGAAACTGCTGTTCTGATTAACCTGGTGCAATTGTGAGGACAGAGGCATATGGAAAAAAAGCTTCTGAAGAGGTCCAGACTCAGAAAGATAGGACTAGCTTTTTTCAGGGAGGCAGCTTGTTTTACTGAGAACAAAGCTATGAAACTTACCCAGATCTAGGTAGATGCCTGGAACAAATGAGTTGAGAAAAAACATAAGAATGACACATCCCAGCACAGTCAGGCATTTGATGAGAAGAATTTTGTCTGTTATTCTGTGCTGTAGACAGACAGGAAAAAAAATTAATAACTATATTAAAGAAGGAGAGACAGGTGAAAAAATTGGTAAGTCTATTAAAGAAGGAGCTATTTATTATGCATAGAGTTCCCAAAAGCATGTGAGAAGAGCAAACTGCTGCTCCTGCATTGGGGATTCCTCTTCAGCATAAAAGACAGAACTGCTTAAATCGTTTTGAAGATCTGCATTTTGTGTGTATCTATAAAAAACCATCCAATGCACTTTAGGAGAGACAAGTATCTGGCACCTGCTGCACATTCAGCTGTGTTTAGCCACCCCCATCTCTACTCCATTCCAGCAGGAGAATTAGATTGAAATGCATGTGGCTTCATGACCCTGGACAAAACCACCTTGTTGGTTTATGTATGCTTTGAAAACTTACCAGCTACCCTAGAGGTCCCCTAAGTCCTATCCCTGTGCCTGGCTCCTGCCTCCCTGTGCCACCTTCCTCACGCTCTCACCCTCAGACCCAGAGCTCTCCCTGGAGCTGCTGCTTCTCTGCTCTGACCTCACTTCCACCACCAGCCCAGGGAATCATCTCCCAGGCTGAGTTCCTCTCCTGTTTCACATAGTTTAAAGCTCTACTAAAGTACAAGGAAGTCTCTGTGCTTTAAAGTTTGTCTCCTATGCAATGCCTTGAAAAAGTTGTAAAACCTAGTAAGAAAATCTGTTGGGTTTGCTCTGGTTTGGTGTGACATCTAGGACTGGTTACCCGGTAAAAGACTTGAGCTCTCATACATGGGCCTGGATTCATTAGTGATGCCACTGAGGGAGACAGATTCTGACATTTAGACAACTAAATTCAGGTGACATTAATCCCACTACAGTGTTTACATCTCCTCAGCTTCATAAGGACTTAGGTGGTGCCAATGTGTGCATAGCTAGGAGAACACGATTTATGCAAGTGGTTTATCCCTCCTTGAATAATAAAAGAAGGAATGTCACAGACAGTGTAGCAAATTAGAATCTGTGTTGGGTACATTAGGAGAGTATTCTATCATCATTCTTCATGGCTAGAAACAACCTACTGACACCTTCTGAGCCTTTCTGCCTATGGATTAAAATTTTAAGAAAACACTGCTGAATCGTTTACTGATTCTTTAAGTCATATTTTTCTAAGGAACAGAGGTATAAAACCTAGCAAAACCTCACTAAGTGGCTCAGCAGCTCTGTCCAACTGAGAAGCCAGTGATCCTGGCTCCCAACTGTCCTGCTATGACAGTTATTAAATTTCCACTAGATTCCAAGCACTATCTCTATATAAAGGCATAGCTTCATTTACGTGAATACTGAGAAAAAACTGCCATCTACTTACTTTTTTCTGGAGTTCCTGGATATTCGTTTCCCAGTTTTTATCTTCTTGTGAAATTTGCCTGAAAGAAAACGACACCTGCTTTTTTCCAGAGTGAAATCAGAGCTCTGCCAAGAGTCTTGGGATAAATCCTGCTCATCACATAGAGATCATGTCTTTCCCCATGTGGAGTAACTCATACCATGAAGGAGTTGTGGCCTTACAGCCAACAGCAAAACTCCCATGGCATTCAGTGAAGACTCCACTTTCGTAACAAGCTCCACTGATGCACAAACTTTCTGCTCACTGCGAGAGGCACAGGCTGGAAGGAGCAGGAAGGACTCCAGGCTGTGGATCTCGGGATAGGATCTGGCTATATGCAATGTGCAGCTCCCTCAATAGCCTCAGGAGCTGCTGAGTGTGTCCCACTGCGACAAAACAAGGGTCATGGGCTGACATCAACTAGTCAGAACACATATGTTTCACATTTGCATTTTATAAGGAAGTTTTTAAGATCTGAATAACTTCCTCATGTTACCGACATAGTCAGCCCTCCAGCAAAAAAAGCCTTGGGGTTTGCAGTCCAAGAGCACTGTTGGTAATGCTAATGACTGCTTACATTGCTGGAGATGTGCTGGAGGGACCCTGATTTTCAAGATTAAATGTAGGGGGTTTGTTTAAACTTCAGAAGTGTCTTCCTTCGAGTATCGTATCGTTTAGATGATCTGTTAGAATCTTTCAAAAATGAGGCAATTTTAAAACCCTCTCTTGTCTTTAAGTATTAATACTGTCACTCAATTCAAAGTATGCAATGTCAGCAAAAATTCTGATAAACAATCTTGTTACTGGATTAGTGTAAGAACTCAGATTTACATTTCCTTGGTCATACCATTCAACATGCTTATTAATTAAAATTAATTATTTCTGTTTCACTCTAGTCAATTCACATTAAAAATACTTATCAGTGCTCTTCTCAGTCATCAAATTCCATGGCATAACACCTGGTTTTACCAGAAGGTAAACAAAACAAGGCTATAATTTTGGTTGTTCTTAGTTATATTAATTTCTTTTCTATACATAAACAGATAATTACGTCTGCTCTCAGGTTCACACTGAAAATTTGATCATGAAATCATTTTAAAACACAGCAATTCACTGGCAACATATTTTTCACACTCTACCATTCACTAAACACGAATTTTTTCAGTAAAAATAAAGAAATTACAGCATTTAACTACACCGAAGCCACAACTGCAAGGAAAAGTGTAATGCAATATTTGTGTTCTTTTTAAACCAAAAGCCACTTGACATATCTAGGCCTTTCAATCCATCCTAAAATACTTTGTGTTTTACTGGGGGCAGCTCTTCATATCTGACCCAACACCCACCTGAACAAGTCAGAGCTAGGAATATAGACCTCATCCCAGAGAAGATCCTGGAAACCTTTGCTTTTAGATGCCACTAAAATGACCAGATATGAGCCCTTGGAAATGTCACCCCTGGTGCCAGCAGAGCCACAGTGTCACTGCTGCTGGAGGTTGGGATGGGCAGGAGCTCCCTGGGGGTGCTACCCACACCTGAGCCTGTCCTTGTGCCCTGCTCACCTGTGGAACGTCCTCAGCTTCTTCCTCAGGAGCATCTCCAGCGTCAGCACCTTCTGCAGCAGGAGGCACTTGACTGCAGTCTCCTCCCTGCTGGCAGGGTTAATGCGCTGCGCAGTCAGTCTCCACACGTAGATTTCGTGTTTCAGCTCTGGAAAGGAGCACAAACCCTTCAGCGCAAGGTCCGAGGCATAGGAAACCAGAGAGGCACAAAATATGTGCCATGTGCCCTGGACTCAAAGTATTGGTATGGTTTCCCAACAATTTTCCACTGAGGAAGCTGCTTCCCGTTCGTATAGCGAAGTTGAAGGGAACGAAAAATAAATCAACGTTTTTTAAGTTTTAAATAAATTCGTCTGAAAGTCCTTTTGCGAGGAAAGAAAAGTTCTGTCTTCAAATGCTTGCTAATGCCTTCCACAAGCTTCAGGGCTAAAATCATAGCCCGTTCATTTTTCATCAGAAAATGAGCTGTCGCTCTACATTATTGTGGTGCTAACGAGACACGAGTCACTTTGGAGTCAGGAATTGCAGCAAATGCTCCTTTGTGTGCTCAGAACAGACAGCAGGTTTCTGTGGTCATACAAGCAATTTTACCGAAGCAAAAGTGAAATTTAGGACTGTCTTATGGAATATTGTTTCAGAACATTTTAGAGGTTTCCTAAGAGGATCTGAATTTAGGCACTGAAGATATGTGTAAGCACAGCTACTGTCTCTGGCTGACCTGGGGATACCTGACCCTGTGTGAGTTCAGACAGACTCATTAACACTTCCAAATCAGACTCCATATTCTTGTCAGGTTTTTCAGTTCTTTTTGAGTTTGGTTTTTTTTCTCCCAGTATTGCTGAGGTCTTGGAGAATGACCAAAAAGCATCTGTTCCTGTCCAGGAGGATGTTAAACTGGGCATGTTGGGAAAAAAAGCTTTGATTTTTACAGGAAATCACTAAAGAAACAAAACCAGAATATTGACTCAGAAACTGGTGGAAGTGCTTCCTGGTGAAGCCACAGGATATTTCCTCACCTTTCTTTTCTGTTCCTCTCAAATTTCATGTCATTGAGGACATGTGTCAGGAACTCAAAGCTTCATATCCTAAGATCCCTGTTCAGTCAGCAAATTACTCTTATCCTAAAAATGGTTGTGGAGTCTTTGAATCATGTAAACAAACTATATCAATTATTTATAAAAAAAATAAATTATGTAATAACTTAAGAAAAATTTAAAGACATTTTGATGTAGACAGTGATGTTAACATTTTCTGCTGCAAATCCCTAGTGGTTCATGGTATCTGATATCAAAAAGAGCACTAAATGTGTTTAATTCCCCACTTTCCTTTGTGACTAAGTATTTATAATGATAATACAGAGTGAATCATGTAAAGATTGACCATGAGAAGGAATTAGACTTGACAGAGCTCAAACATTTAAGAGCAAAAGTGTGTCCAGAGCCAGATTATTTGACACAAAAAAAAAACAAGTGATCTGAACAGCAATTGACTTATATTTTGTATGGTTCATGTCTATCGGTGAGCACACAGCCATCAGAGTGGTAATGTTTGCCTAAGTCTTACAGTGCAAGACCAGAAATATAACAATATAAAAATAAAAATCCAGTGACTCTCCTGGGTTATTAAACACCTAGTGCTCAGGTACAGCTTTTCTTCCAAGAAGGGATTCATCCCTGAACCACAGGTATCAAAAAGCTGCAGAATCTTTGTAATGTATTTGGTGATTGTTGCCAGGAACATAATCTGACACAAAGTTCTGTTAGAACAGACACATGTCCTGCTTCTCAAAGGATCCCTATGACTTTGTGTGGAGACCCCCTGGTCATCGTTTAGTTTTGCATCAACATCTGTGACACACACAAACACATCAGCAGTGACTTTCCACTCTCCTGGAAAAAGCAAAATGTCCTTTCTGCACTGCTTTCTTACATGATTTTCAGGTCGATTAGGCTGTAGCTTTGAAACTGTCATCAGTCCAAGGGAAAGTGTCATTTTGTCTTTTTCTCTGGCAAATGCTCATGCTCATCCAGTTTCTATTCTACTTCCCTACAGCTTGTCTTTGCTGCCACTTTTCTGATGACATCTCTTCATCCTGCTATAGCATTTCCCCCATTCCTTCCCACTGAAATTTCACCCAGGGTTTTGCTGACAGAGGGAAGCTGAATCATTCACCATCTAAACGAGATGCAAATCCCCCCCAGTTATTTTCAGACAAAGCATCTTCATCTCCTCTCCTTCTGAAAGAGGCAGTTATCCTCACGGTCTCTGTGCCACAGACAAACCCACAGAGTGCAAAGCAGAGCTGCAGATCCCTCTTCCACATCTCAAGTGCCCTGGGGCTGATCTCCAGGCTGAGCAAAGTCAGCCTGGTGCTTTCTGGGCTCTGTTAAAAAAGAAACACGTGTCTTCACACGGCTTTGATCGTGTCTTTAGGTACAGCAAGTGCATGCTTGATTTTTCAGTCATTAGTTTTCCAAACATCCCAAGGCTGTGAACATCTGACCTGCTGTGGAATTTACTTCAGAGTAAACTGTACTTTGAAAATCAGAACCGTGGATACATCTTTTATACAGTGACTCCTGTTGAAGTAATAATTCGTGAAGAGGTTTTCTAGGTCATCCCACAGCATGTTTCTCCTATTTCTCTTTCATGCACACTCTTATTGTAAAAGCCAATTGTGGCATCAGGTGCTACATATGTATTAGCAGCAGCTTTTGTCTTGAAGTAAATATAATACAGGACCTGGAAGCCAGCAGTAACACTGAACATGGCCAAAATCCTTTGCATCTTGCAGCACTTCTCCCATTTTATGTCTGCAAAACCATTTGGGCAGCAACCCCAGAGCTTGGGGACATCTGATATTTTATGGCATACTAAGTTACACATGGACAAGGCTTCGTGCAACTGCAGAGTCTCCCCAATCACTCTGAAGTTCTGGCCAGGACAGCACAAGGGCAGCATTTGGCTGCCACTGAATGGGGAAGTCTCACACCACATTTCTCCACGTCCATAAACTCCTCTCTCCTCCTCAGGTGGGGCCTAATGGTCACGTTACACCAGGGTGAGATTTCTCCACTCACTCTCCCAACAAACCCAACCTCCAGGGTTTTCACAGGGGAAGCTTTGTGGTGGGTCAGCCTACTAACCAACCCATCCTACCACTGCTGTAACTGAAATGGGCATTGGTGCCACGGCAGTTTATCATACATCAGATAAATTAAACATGTAACTGCAGCTGTAATAGCATGGTCACAGTGCTAGGAGCCAAGCTAAGTTCAGTATGCAGAGATCTGGAGTCCAATGAGGCAGGAGAGCTGCAGCTCAGTCTGGGAATTCAGCTCATTATGGTACTAAAATCTTTGTGAACGTGGTACATTCATAAAGCCCACAAGGCACCACAGCAATAAACCTAGCATTATTATTTCACTAAAATTGCCTTTTATCCTCTCTTTTTTTCTTTTTCCACAGGAAGTCCATTTCCAACAAGAAAATAATAATTTTTGGCTTAGTTATAGGATCAAATAAAGGATCATCAAACACATTAAACCCTATGTTGCTAATCTGTTCCAGTTTTGTCATTTATCATATTTGCTGTGGAGACCACAAATATGCCATCCTGGACCCACTGAGTTTAATGGAATTTCAGCTGCTTACTTGGACTGTGACATTTCAGAAAAGACTTTATGCCTTTTATAAAATACTAAATTTAATTAAAAAATGCATATTATTATTTCTGCAATCTGACAATTAATAGTCAGATTGATTTTCAGCTGAATAATCACACACTCCCTCCCACCCAACTGCCAATAACAAAGACATCCTCAAAAACTGAGTGTAATTAATTCCCAGTCTCAGAATGTGAAAAGGCCAGTTTTGTTAATTGAAGATACTCAGAAGAGCATGACCAACCTTGATGAGATGATAAGAATTACCATAAAATGGCAATATTTCACTTGCAAGTGCACTAAATACATTCACTATCTGCTGCAAGCAACACAAGTTTGCTCTGCTGGGCTGTGACTAACACGCAGAGCATGTTCCTCTGAATGTTTGGGGTTTGTTTTTTTCTCCACATGCTGCTGTAGCTTAGCTCTTTTCAGTAAAGCAAATATTTTTCTTAGCTAACTTCTCAGAATGAGAATACTTCTGCATAAATGTTAACTGAAAAGCAAATTAAGTATCAGGAATTATATCCTAACCTAGTAGTAGTAACTATAACCTTCAGTAATTTTTAAATCCCTGTTATTATGTAATCAATCCTCTAAGCATTATTAGATGGTGTCACCTCCACTCTAAAAGTGCAGAAACTAAATCCGGAAGGTGAAACCCAAGAGTAGAAAAAATTCACCTTGAGGGATATTCCATCTCAGCAACTCATGCCCCTCTCCCAGAGGCAGCACAAGCATAAAGGCCTCCAAAATACCACAAAATATGCTTTGCTTGTTCAGCCCAATACTTGCAACAGAATGCAAGAAACCTGCCCAAAGCTGCATAAAGCAGCACAGAGCATTTCTATAATAATAATAATATTTCAGTCCACCAGCTGAGGCCCCATTTGGTCAGCAGGCACCTAATGCCCCTCTGTCACCCATCGCACAGGAATTGCAGCACAGCCTCATCCCTAGGCAGAGCAGCTGAGCCTGGGCAGAAACGCAGAGTTCAGAGGGTGCCACACTCCATGGTCTCCCAGGAGTCATTCTGGGTGAGCAGGGCAGGCTGCAGCCTCAGGACTCAGCCTGCTCAGAAAGCTGCAAATCAGCAAGTTTTCTTCTTCTGCTTCTGCTTCAAAACCCAACTGGAGTGTTTTCCTCACTGTGCTTTGGGTTTCCCTCTGTCATTTTAGCTACTGAAAAAATCTACAACACTACGAACTTACTCCTGCATTTGATAAAGGAATAGTCAATTTAATATATCTATGATGGACACATAAGACTCAAACAGAGTAATGCAAAGATATTAAAGGGGGTTAGACCTCTCCTAACATATCAGGAGGGTTGATAAAGACACACATTGCTCTGCAGTTGATTTGTCCTGAACAACAGATGGATCTGTCTCTCTCAGGTGATATGGGTCTGTTCTCATCTCTTCCTAAGTCAGACTTAGAGCCACAAATTTATTTCAGTCCTTGTGGGTTTGCCCCTTAGTTTC